GGTTCGAACCCTCGGCGGCCGGTGGGGTATAGTTGAGTTCCTCTGGTGTCGGATTTGGGGTCACCGCTGTGGCAAACGCACAGCAGTGACTGTTGTGCTTTATTTTGTGATGCATTATGGGCTTATTTTTATGATCTGAACCGTTCATTTTGTAGGATTTGTTGAGTACTTCAAGCCTACCAAAAATCATATTAATCGGATATCAACAACTATATGATCGAATTGCATATTTTTATACTATTTTTCAAAAGAAAAACTGTTGTTTGTTTTTTTGGTTATCAATCATATAGTTATTGGTATCCGAGTAATATGATTTTTGGTAGGCTTGAAGTACTCAACAAACCCTACAAAATGAACGGTTCAGATCATAAAAATAATCCCATGATGCATCACAAAATGAAGCACAACAGTCACTGCTGTGCCTTTGCCACAGCAGTGACCCCAATTCCTCTGGTGCTTTGGTGGTGGGTCTCTCATATGGTGGGAGTTAATTCTTGACTGACAACCCATTACTCTGGAATCAGGGCCCACGGAATCGTGATGACATCTCAAAGCCCTTTTTTCCCTTATTTTGCCACAGTAGTGACCCCAATTCCTCTGGTGCTTTGGTGGTGGGTCTCTCATATGGTGGAGTTAATTCTTGACTGGCAACCCATTACTCTAGAATCAGGGCCCACGGAATCGTGATGACATCTCAAAGCCCTTTTTCCCCTTATAAAAAAAAAAAAAAATACTGCGTAATGAGGTATCGTGCAAACCTCACATCGAAGGAAAATATGTCATAACATATAATAAGATCCACTATCATTATTATATTAATATTGAAATCAAGTTAAGTATTAAAAAATTACCAAAATAGTATAAAAGATTCACAATATAAAGGCCCATATATGATTAAAGGGTAAATTATATGATTAAAGGGTAAATTATAAATATACTCTTTGAAATTTATTTAAAATACGAATTATTTTTTATAGTCTGAAAAATTATAAATACTTTCATGTCAGAATTTTTTTATCTAATAGAATTAATTGAAAAAGTGAAATTTCTAACTATTCAATTATACAATAATAAAATTATCTGAATTATTAATTAAAATAAAATTTTAACATTATTAAAAACTGTTAATTAATTTTATGATTTATTAATAAAAGGACTTATTCTTTATGAAATTAGAAATTTTAGGAGGGCATAATATAATTTCTAAAACTATAGGGGATAATTTGTAATTTAAATAAATCTCAGGGGTGTGTTTGTAATTTATCCATGACTAAAAATATAAAAATTTCTCCTATAATAATACAAGATTAAATTACAAATACACCCCCTAAGAAATAGAATTAATTGAAAAAGTGAAATTTCTAACTATTCAATTATACAATAATAAAATTATCTGAATTATTAATTAAAATAAAATTTTAACATTATTAAAAACTGTTAATTAATTTTATGATTTATTAATAAAGGACTTATTCTTTATGAAATTAAAAATTTTAGGAGGGCATAATATAATTTCTAAAACTACAGGGGATAATTTGTAATTTAAATAAATCTCAGGGGTGTGTTTGTAATTTATCCATGACTAAAAATATAAAAAAATTCTCCTATAATAATACAAGATTAAATTACAAATACACCCCCTAAGATTTGCTTAAAATACAGATTGTTCCTTGTGGTTTGAAAAATTACAAATACCTCCTTATTATAATTTTTTATTTAACAGAATTAACTAAAAAAATAAAATTCATAATTGCTATCTTGTACAATAATAAAATTATCTAAATTATTAATTGAAATATATTTTTAACATCATTAAAAACTATTACTTGACTTGATGATTTATTAATAAAATGGACGATTTGTTATGAAATTAGAAACCTCAAGGAGTGAAATGTAATTTTCAAAATCACAGAAAATAATTTGTATTTTAATCAAATCTCAAATATGTATTTATAATTTATTCATAGTACAACAAGCCCATCCTTCCATCTCTGCTCCAATTAAGTGTGTAGTCCCAACAAATGCCGTATAATGGTATCGTGCAAAAGGAAAATATGTCATAACTAATAAGATTCATTAGGGTGGTGGTGGGTCCCTCACTTGGTGGGGGTTAATTTCTGGTTGACAACCGATTATTCCAGGGTCATGGCCCCGTTGGACCCTTGATGACACCACAGAGCCCTTTTTCCCAGTTCAAACAAAAAATAAAATAAAATTAGGGCATCTTTAATGGTCCATTAATTTATTTATTTTTCTATTAAATTTAGGTAAAAATTTAAATAAAAATTACTTTTGATATTAAGTGTTCTAATGAAAGATTTTATAATTTTATCAAATCATCGGTCAACCAGGTGGGCGGATGACTGGCCGATCGATAGACCAGTGTAATTTTTTCACAAATTTTTATCTTGAGGTGGTCATCTAGGAACATCCGTAGGACATCCGAAGGTGAAAATCCAATGGCAATGGTCCCGTTTGGTAGAGCTGTGAGAAAGTGATTATAACTTATATCTTAATAGCTTATAACTGTGAACATAAGCTGATTTTTGATTTATAAATTAAGTTTCTCCTCTCCTACTCAAAGAATAAGTTGATTTTTGACTTATAAAAAGTTATAAGCTGTATTGTTAAGCTGAACCAAACAAATCAAAATAACTTAAATTAAGCTAAAAGCTGAAATAAACTGGAAATAAGCTCTACCAAACATGACCAATTAATAGTGATTTTTTTTTTATCAACAAAAAAGAAACCTTTATTGATGATAAAATCATACATCAAATGAATTTAAATCAAATAAAGGGGTGGAGGAGCAAAAAGTATCATAGTAAACTAACCCGATCCCAACTAGGTTGGCACCAAGAAGAGAGTTGAATCATCTACTAGCTCGATCACAAAGGGTTGGTGAGGGACCAAACCGCACAGGAGAAAAAACCAACAGATAACACTAAATCCTAGATTTGATGGTGGATTTTGATGAACCATTGGAGGAATAAAAAAATAACTTTTTTCATCAAATTTAAATTTAATAATGTATTTGATAAATAATTGGAAATGGTCTCATCAGGGCATCTCTAACGGTGTACCAAATATTTCATGAAATTTGAGTAATAATTTGACGAATTCTTCTATTTGATATCAACCACTATAACGGTGAATTTGTAGTTATCAACAAAACACAAGTTGTCTAGGGGGACGACCGACCAGTTGTTCGGCTAGTCGACCGATAAGAGTAAATGAAAAACACCTATTTCCCTCAATTTCTGTTTCCCTCAATTCCTTGGCATTTGTTTTTTCCTCCATTAAATATTTTTTATTTCTTTTTGCCTCCATTAATGATTTCCCTAAAAAAATAGATATAAATAGTTCTAACCATGTAGTATATAAACCTAGCAAACAACGTTGTATCTGGAACCAACCCATAACTGAAAAACAAAACATAATGACTAGCTCAACTTTTTATTTGTTCACTGATTTTTCATCCTCTTCTTCTTCCTCATTCTCTGATAATGAAAGTGATAATGAAAAAATGGTTACACTTTTGGGTCTTTATGAGATAAATAATGCTAGTATGATACATATTCTGAGAGCAAGTGAGTGGTCAAAGAAAAGAGGTGGTTCTGTTGTATGACATAAATATATACGTCGTCATAGTTTGAAGATAAATTTTTTACAAATAAACAAGTTAAAAAAATTCAAGATGATACAATATTCAACACATAGTTCAAAATATTGTAAAAAAACAAGTAAAAAAATTAAAGAAAGAAGTGAAAAATTTAAAAAATACTGAAGACTGAAGATTACACAATTAGAATATTATTATAAAAGAAACAACTGACAAATGAAATAAAAAGTGACGATTGAAATTAATAATGACAAATAAAAGAGAAATTGTAATGATATTGTGAAATTGAAAAATAAAGCCATTTGATTTTATAAACCATAGCAACAGTAACCTTCTTGCGAAATCAATGGCTAATTTTAGTACAAACCATTGTGGGGCATTTTTCAAGGAAGAGGATGATCGGGCGGACATCCGACCGAACCTTCGACTGGTTGTCCGGTGGGTCACATCCTCAACGGCTACGCATAGTAAAATATTGAAACGTGCCAACCATCCTTAGTTTGGTGAAATATTTTTAATATTTTTAATTTGATATAGGTTTGATGAAACTACCAAATTTAAATTTAGTGGTGAATTTGGTACAACGTTAGATATGGCCTCATTAATATATTAATGTTGAAATCAAATCAAGTATTAAAAAAAATTATCAAAATAGTATAAAAGATTCACAATATAAAGGTCCATATGTCACTAAAAATTTGGGGGAATTATTTTAGTAGGCTATTTTAGTTTTTGGCTATTTTAAGTAGGCTAAAATTTTTGTGTTTGGGAAGATGATTGGATTTTTTTGTGGTTGGATGTGATGTTTGTGAGAGAAAAAATGAAATGATTATGGGTTTGATGTGATATTTTGTCTTATTAACTATTTTAACCTATTTTATCTTTTTGTGATTTTTAGCCTAAATTTAGCTACTTTTTTTCTTCCCAAACACCCACACTCATTTTCTCCTATAAAACACAAGCGTGGTTAATGCTTCTCTCCGGAGAATTGTAGAAGACGTAAGACATCTCTTGAAAAGTGTAGATGCTCTGTCCAACACATTTTGAGAGAAAGAAACCAGTGTGCTGACAAGTTGGTTAATCTTGGAGCTGATCAAGAAGAGCACCTGCTTGTCAAGGAAGACCCTCCGGAGGAGGTTCGAAATTTGGTGGTGGCTGACCTTCTGTGGCGTGAATATCAGAGACTTTAGGCCTCTGTTTGCAGTTGTTTGTTTTCTTGCTTTTATTTCCTTTCCTTTGAACTCTTGTGGTCTGTTCTAATCCTTTCCGGAGTATCAATTTTTTTTCCCTTCCACCTCTGCTCCATTCTCTGGACTCTCTCTCAGATTTTGGATTCCAGCCAGAACTCCCTCCCTCCCTCCCTCTGTCTCTCTCTAGACGTATATGTATGTATAATTTGGGCTAGAGCAATGGAGTCGTTGTTGAAGGACTTTGATATTCCGGCGAAGAATCCGTCGGAGGAGGCGCAGAGGCGGTGGAGATGCGCCGTCACCGTCGTGAAGAACCGCCGGAGACGGTTCCGCATGATCGTGGATCTCGCCAAGAAATCCGAAGCCAAGACTAAGCTTCTCAAAATCCAGGTTTGTTGTCCATTTAACTCTATATCTCTCTCTGTTTGGCATCTAGGAAAATAAATTGAAACACTGGGAAAGAAAAGAAAATGAAGCAATACCGAGTCCACACATTCACTATTCTCGAATAGTTTATCGTAACTTTGTGAAATGGAAACGAAATGTCAATGGTGAGATTTCGATTTGGTTGTTTTTGCTGGTAGATTCCAACTTTGGATTACCAATTTTCATTCGCAAATGGTGCGCTAACTGTGCGTGTTACCTTACGTCCTCAACCATATATGAAAATTGGTTGATATTCCGGCGAAGAATCCGTCGGAGGAGGCGCAGAGGCGGTGGAGATGCGCCGTCACCGTCGTGAAGAACCGCCGGAGACGGTTCCGCATGATCGTGGATCTCGCCAAGAAATCCGAAGCCAAGACTAAGCTTCTCAAAATCCAGGTTTGTTGTCCATTTAGCTCTATATCTCTCTCTGTTTGGCATCTAGGAAAATAAATTGAAACACTGGGAAGGAAAAGAAAATGAAGCAATACCGAGTCCACACTTTCACTATTCTCGAATAGTTTATCGTAACTTTGTGAAATGGAAACGAAAAATGTCAATGGTGAGATTTCGATTTCGATTTGGTTGTTTTTGCTGGTAGATTCCAACTTTGGATTACCAATTTTCATACGCAAATGGTGCGCTAACTGTGCGTGTTACCTTACGTCCTCAACCATATATGAAAATTGGTTGATATTCCGGCGAAGAATCCGTCGGAGGGGGCGCAGAGGCGGTGGAGATGCGCCGTCACCGTCGTGAAGAACCGCCGGAGACGGTTCCGCATGATCGTGGATCTCGCCAAGAAATCCGAAGCCAAGACTAAGCTTCTCAAAATCCAGGTTTGTTGTCCATTTAGCTCTATATCTCTCTCTGTTTGGCATCTAGGAAAATAAATTGAAACACTGGGAAGGAAAAGAAAATGAAGCAATACCGAGTCCACACTTTCACTATTCTCGAATAGTTTATCGTAACTTTGTGAAATGGAAACGAAAAATGTCAATGGTGAGATTTCGATTTCGATTTGGTTGTTTTTGCTGGTAGATTCCAACTTTGGATTACCAATTTTCATACGCAAATGGTGCGCTAACTGCGCGTGTTACCTCACGTCCTCAACTATATATTAATTACCTTTTACATGTATTTTTAAAGGATTCTTGACTAGAGTACAATATTGCCATTATTTGAATAGTTTATTTTATTAGAAGGTTCATCATAACACCTATAAATAAACAAATTAGATAGATTTGATAAATTTTATTTTATTAATTTTTATGAATTTGTCACAAAAAAAGAAGAAGAATTATTGTATTTTTAAAAATAAATTATTTATTTTTCTTTTATAACAAACACAATAAATTGAATATGTTATAATTTTCTAATCGATTTAATTTTTTTTGTGAGAATGGTATATACAAAGTATCCGATAAAATAAATGTTTTAAATTATCGAAACGTGATTCGAATCTCAGGCAATTCTAAATTTTAAATATATACATTGTTTTTTTTTGTTACAGCACCCCAACAGCCCAATTGAGGTTCATTTTGATTTTATTTTAATAGCTTGAACTGTTTATAAGGTTTATCGAATATATTATTAATATAAAAAATAAAATTAATTAGACATACATAATCCTATAATTGGATCATTTTAAATATAAATGATTTGAATTATCACAATAAATTCACGAAAACGTCTTCACGAACTCACAATTCCCTCCCCAGTTCCAGAGGAGGAGATTGTTTCTGATATGCTTGACGGTTTTCAAACCACTGTTTTATTTTGAATTGAAAACCATTTTCGATCTATGACTTTATGGTTGTATTTAAAAGGACGGTTGAGTTGGGCACATCGCCCCATCACAGGCCCATGATTTGTGATGCTCCACCAAAATAAATAATAAATAATAAAGTTGATTAGTTAATTGTAATTATATTTATTTCAGAATAGTCTACTTTCAAACTTATACTTGCTATTTATTTATTTTCAATTTTTAAATGATAGAATAATATAACCATAGTGATTGAGTTTTAATTTTTATAGACAATTTATAAATAATAATTTGAAAAATGTACGAATTAAATTATGAGAGAGTGGGGTACGTGAGCCTAACTAGACCGTGATACAATCTGCATCATATTTAATAATGTTAATTGAGATCAGATTTATCAGAGTGGGGTTGGTGTGCTACGTAATCCATAGAAGCATGTCTGTAAATACTTTGATAATCTGAGCTGTTCAAGAAAAGATCGAATTTTTTGAACATCTATAACCGCATAATAAGACCACATTTATGTTTTAAGAAAAAACGAATAGCAAAATTTTGATAATTTTTTAAAAACAATTAGGGTCTGTTAATCTTATTTTTTTTCTTTAAAGATGATACGCGCGATCAACCTTATAACATCCATCCCAAGTCCCAAATCTATTGGGTGTGATTGTATATTATATATAAATATACATCATATATTTAAATTCCGATAAGCATATAGCATCTCTGTTGGTTTAAAATTTTGAAATTCAAAGTTTTTCTCCCCGCAACTATTTCTCTTACCCGGTTTATTTTCTACTGAAGAACATTTTTCTATATTTGAATTGGCACCAAAACACTAAAAAGAAAAAAGATTTAGCTCACCCCTTAATAGTCGATGTACGGGGAGGAAATAATTCTCCTCGTATAATCCTGTTGACCAAGTCCACGCTCCTCCGTACGACGTCGCTTTATCACCTGAAAACACAAACGTGAGCTAGCCGGCGGGTGTGTGCCGGAAACCTCTCCGATGCCTAAGTCAGTAAGCTTGACAAATAGACAAAGTTTTATGCTCTCAGAAAGAATTATGTTCAATTACCTCCTCCAAGGTGGTGCTTGTGAGCTTTTATAGGTTTCGAGTGGCATAATCCTAGTAGGACTTTTATTTCTCCATGCAGAGTCCTTCTAGGATTCATACTCCTAAGGATAATGCTTATCCTTTTACACCCTCCCCCACTGCTTAAACCAAGTGGGATGGTTTTCACTTTGGCCGAACTACTATATGACCGAAATAAGCTTGGCTACGCAGAGCCACAGAGAAGGCCGAACTGTCCTTAGCTCGGTCTTCTCCTCCAACTCCTTATCTCGGCTTTCCCCTGTTCAACCATGATGTGTTTAGATCAAACTTCCAAGTAGCAAGTTCTGACCGACCTAACCATAATACGTCACGACCGGACTAAATGCAAGGCCGGACTCACTTCAAACTGCCACCGGACCGGAGTTGCTATACACACTCTTCAACCGGAGTAACCACGCCTCTCCTGGGCCGGAATAACTTCACTTCTCCTGGGCCGGCGTATCTATACCTCTACTGGGCCGAAATAACATTACGGCTTCTTACCGATTCCTTCACACTTTGGGCCGCAGGGCCCAACTCACAGCTCGGCCCAATTCTTTCCCAAAAATTACCCTCTCAGTCGATATATGTATTAGCATAAAAAATGTGAATCATGCCTGGTTTCTTTTATTATTTACTTTTTCCACTAACATAATAATTAGGATGCAGACAATGGTGGTGTTTGGGAGGAAGGCTTTTTAGTTTTTTTTGGCTAAAATAGTATTAAAAGACAAAATAGACTAAAATAGCCTATAAGACAGGATGTCACATTAAACTCATAATAATTTTACTTTTTCTATCACAAACATCACATCTAACTATAAAAAAATCTAATCTTTCCAAATATAAAAATTTTAACATATTAAAATAGCCAAAAATTAAAATATCCTACTAAAATAGTAACTTCTCAAACACTCACAATATACGTTGAGAAATAAAATTGGGATCATACAATGCCTCACCCTTGTTATCTTTATCTTTGGACCATTGTTGGCATTTAGATCATGTGACTCTTCTGGCTAGAATAGCCATTAGTATCATTAATGGGTTACCTTCCACTAGAGGCAAGGAAATTTTCCAATGGTGTGGTGGTCGCACAAAACGGCCGTAATGTCATACAAATTTTATAAATTATTTTTTACATTAATGAAGTTGTTGGTGTTTCATATTTTAAAATTTCTTTGTTGCATGATATATTAATTAGTAAAAAAAAATTGTAAAATTTGTTTGCTTGCATAGTATTTTCCCACAACATGGTCATATTAAAGAAATAAATATTATTTACTATTGGATTGATTTCACCCTTCACTTCACTTATGTGTATTTATGTAACAAAAGTAAGTGCATTTGTCTTATACTGTACCATATAAAAAACCATCTTAAAAATACAAAATTTGAATAAAATATTTTGATGATATATAGCTTCCCTCGGCATATCTTCATGAGAATATTCTTAACCCTCGTGTTTGGTAAGAGAACAATCATGGCTCCAACCCTTACCTAGTGTTTGTAAGACTTTTCTAGAAATATTTTTCGTCTGTTTACTTTTCCTTCAGTGGCCATCGGGCAGATCACTTTATTTTTTATTTTTTCTTTTTTTTACTGTAACACGATATATTCATAATATTTGAATACTTTTTAGATGTACATAACTAATTACTAATCATGTAGAAGTTCAAATACTTTGGTCATCAGGAGAGAGAGAAAAATGTTAGAAGTCATGGTGGGTTGGGTTGTTCACCAAACCATTAATATAACTTTATGATCTTGACCAGCACACTGATGTGTCAATTAAGCCATATGTCTCGGCAGGAATGGTAAAGAAAATTTAAGTCATTTGATATGTTTGCGGGATGGAAAATGATGTGTGTCGCGTCTCAAGTTTTGCGACAACGTTACACATTTATCTAAGTGAATATACAAAATTAAGAGTCTAATTAAATAAATTAACAATATAAAGGGTAAATTTTACTTTACCCTCTTATGGTTTAGGTCATGTGCAAATTACTCTCATGACTTTCGAATATTACCACATAATCTCCTATAGTTGATGGAGAAATGTGCACCGTTAGTTTTTTTGTGTATTCTAACCGGCTGTGCAGTGCATGCGAGCGTGGAGCAAGTGGGCCTAATGATATTCCCTCACAATGAGAAGACCAAAATATCCTTATCTTCATCATCAATTTCCGAAGAATACCCTCATATTATTTTCTTCATCATCAGATCTGGAAATGTGATGATTTTGATTTTGTTTTGAGACTAAATTAATTTAAACAACATAATTTTTATGTATATATATAATCTGTAGCTATATATATATATATATGTGTGTATATTCAAAGTACCCACAAAAACAACAAAAATCAACAAAGACTTCAAGTCCTCACCTGTTTGATTTTAATTTTCAAAGCTAGCATCAATTTTTTACGATTTTCGATACCCAAAAAGAAAACCAAACACAACTCTTTTACCATTTTCATTTTCCCAATTTCCCAGAAACGGAAAAAAATAAAAAATAAAAAATAAAAAAACTCCTGGAAAATGAAATTTTCTATGTAAACAAACAGAAGAGATAAGAATGAAAGTCAAACCTTTGTGCCTCCATGGAAGGAATTTTGTAGACAGAGTCTGGCGTATATATCTTTCTTACACAACTTTGATGAAAAATCATCAAACACTTTCTGAAAACATTTTGGAAATATGAATAAAAATTATAGTACTTCTGAAAATCAAAACCTCCCAAAAATCTAAAACAAAAACCTAAATTAATTTAAACAACATAATTTCTATAAAAAATAAATGTATATATATGTAGCTATATATATGTATATAATCACCAATAGCAACATTGTGCTTCGTTGATGATGTAGCTATATATATGTACTAGCGGTTGCCACACGCGATGCAGTTGCTATTCAAATAAATAAAAATAAAATAAAAAATTTATTATATATTGTGTGCTAGTCAAGTGGTAA